TAGTTAAAGTTTTAGCTTTAGCAATTCATACTATATGTACAGCTTACAATTGTTTAATAAAGCACATATAACTAGCCGGACAGAGGGTTTAAAAAAAAAAATAAAATAAATTGTTATAAAAAATATTTATATATAAACTCTTGTAAATATTTTGTGATCAATTGTCAGTTATATAGAAGAAGACATTAATATTATGATAATTATAATTATAGAATGTATTTTAAATTAAACAAGTACGATTATATAATATATTTTGGTTATATCAAATTCAATATCATATATAAAAAATTTACTCTATTAATTTAAGCAAGATTTAATCAACTTGAATTGATAATTTATAGTATAGATTAATTTGTAATTAATTCTGTAAATAGATATACATATTGTATATTCAAATATATTTCTAGTTGACTATGCAATTATAAAAAAATATGCTTAAGAAATTATTTGAAAATAAAATGATCTGATTAAAGATAGTTTAAAGCATGTTTAAGGAATTATTAAATTATTACAAGGTACTATATTATCAACTTAAGAGGATTTATTCCAAGTTAAAAAAGAAACTTTATAAATCGTCTAATAGAAAAAGAAAAAAAATATGTTAAAATCTTAATATAAATTATAAGTTTGGAATTCTATTAAATATGTATTATTAGATATGAATAAAAAATATATAAAAGAATTTCACAAGTTACTAGTTCAATTTTACTTGAGAACAATATTACAAATACCTCAAGTAATATATAGATCCTATTTGTTTAGCAATATCAATTTTGCCATCTTTGGCAAAGACTACATTTGATCACGAGAAGCACAAAAAAAGATCACAAAAATATTTTAGCCAGTTTTAGATTGTATGTTATTTTAGCACTAGACAAGTTTTTATATCACCTCAGCAGATAGGTGAAAACTGCATACCATATAATTAAGGTTCTAACAGAGCTTGGATATATTAATTAGAAGCAGAATCTCTTTTCAAGAAAAGATATTATCTAAAACTTCATATAATTATTCCATAGACAAGCAGTAATAGGTTATGTAAAAAGAATATAATGATTTAATAGAATGAGACACTACTGAAGATTCCATATAGGTACTCCACAGACTTATCATAATAGGTAATGTAAAAAAAATATCTAGCAAAGCAAATTAAGAAAGAAAGAAGAAAAAAGCTGATACAAGGAATCAATGATTAGTGAGATGAGAATATCTAGACTATAACCTAAAGGCAAGTCTGAAAAATGAGTCGATTCTTTTAACAACAAGCCACATAAGAACTGCCAGTCAGCCAAAATAGACTTCTTTACAAGCTTTAGTCATGCAAAAAGTATACAAGCTAGGTTAAAATAAAATAGTATAGCACTCCGTAATTGTAATCCAGTATATATTTTATTTTAAATTTATTAACATAATTGTTAATTATCTATTTTTATATTAATAATTTGATTTTAATATAAATAAAAGCAATTGATTACTTTTTTTTGGCATTAATAGAAAGAAGTTATATTGTAAACTTAATTTGCTAAAGAATCCGATCTTTTTTCAATCTGCAATCACGTGACTCACCAATTAGTTCTCCATGAAAGGCCGGTTGGGCATTTCGAAAGAGCATAAATATATTATAGTACCTATAGTAATACAATACACTAGATCTAAAGATGTTAAAAAAGACACGGGTAAACATATTGGTAAATAAATATCATATATTCCCACCAGGATCAGGTAAAAAGAAATAAGGGTAGTCGTGGTGATCTACGCTTATTGAAAATTCAGAAGCATCAATAGAAAAAAAAATAACACTAAAAAATTAAATTCTCTATACATCAAGAATATGAAACGTCTTAGAATTAATAGAAACGCTACGGGAAAAAAAGAGTAAAACAAAAAGAACATAAAGGGATACCATAGATTACGAATAACAGATTTGTTTTTTAAAGTTACAAGATACTATCCATCTTCGTGAATACATTTAGGACAGCAGCCACGACTTCAATTTGCAACTCTTTTCCTTCAGGGATATCCACTTTGACCTTCTTTGAAAAGGGCCAAACCGAATATTCACTCAGTAACTCGTCTACCTTTGTGTACGCTCGCTCTCGTGTCTCGTAATTTAGTTGCAACAAGGCATTTTCCAAGACATTGGCGGCATATGCAGCACACACCATAGATATAGTGCGTAAGTAGCTAAACGGTATTTCTTTTTCTGATGATGCCGTGGAATTATTGAGATGAGTCAGCGTTTTAATAACCCGTTTCACAATCTCATCTTTGGCAGAAGAATCACTGACAGGATGAGTTGCCATGTCAAAAAGCAAAAAGTTTCGTTTCTCGGTTCTCAGAATGCCTTTGTCCACCAAACCTTTTGCTAAACGCTCTCGTACTTGTTTCAACTGGTATCCAATCTTCAGCACATTCCAGGTTTCACCTGATAGAAAATAAATTGAAATTTAGAAAATTTTGAGAGTCTGAGTTTGGCGCGCGACCAACTTTAAAATTACGTATCGGAGAGTTTCATATCTTAGTTAAATAAACGGCTGTGTGTTAGGATATGAGATTAAATGTTTCATATTTGATAACACAAAGCAGAAATTAGGCCTCGTAAATAATACAAATAGAATAAATGGTTGCAAACCATGGCAATCAACCATAAGTCACATTCCTCACGAGGACTAAACTGTTCGATAAAAAACGAGAAGAACATCATCAACTCACCACTCATCAAATCAATCCAACTTCCTACGCTCATTGGTTCACTACTTTTCATCATTTTTAAAGCTTCATCCAATAGAACCTCATTAGTTAATTTGTCGTCGATAACTTCGACCAGTCTCTCCGAAAGCGGAAATTTACGACGAAGGGGGTCTTTAATCATAGCTATTCGTCCTCGAAACGCAAGCTCCATTAGGATACATCCTCTAAGAGTATAAGAAATATTATCATTCCAAAATGAGAGGTATCCCTGCAAGTAATGAATATTTGTAATTATGTACGAATGAAACAACAAGTTAATATTGGCAATGAGTTCTCGAGATTACAAAAGAATAAAATAAGTAGATGTTTGGATTGCCTCAGAGCAACATCTCAAAAAACCAGGTTAATAAATAGTAAATGAAAGATTATTCTATTCGTGACCATGACTAGAAGACTTATGTTGTGGGTGAAAATTACCTGTTTATCTTTTAGACCCAGTAATAAAACTTCCTCCATGAGTGTTAGATTTGGTTGTTTTTTGTCTTCCGAGTCGGGTAAGTCGTTGGGATCTACTGCAATTCTAACCCCATTATCGGAAGAATACGTGCGATCTATTGTTTTTGGTAAGTTGTTCTCGTGCGATGAGTTTGTGGAGTTGATACCACTTGCATTGCGTCGCCGTTGCAGACCACCTGCTGAAGCCATTTTCAGTTAAAAAATGTTATTATAGGAATCGTTGGCCTAACGATCTCGTAATAACAAAGCAAATGTTTGAACGAACTTAAAAACTTGAATCGTGTGTAATGGTAAATAGGAAAATTGTAATACATGCGATTTTTCGTATTCCAATGATAACAAGGGATCACATGAAATACTTAACTTTAGGTATGTTTATTAGGCATAACATTGGATGGTTGATCTACATAGGAATCATTACTTCTAAAATGTGATACCCGTGAATCAAAAAAATTTTTTTTATATTCGCAAGTGAAATGACGATCTGATACTCCCATATACTCAGACGCGATAATTTCTCACCCTTTACGCGCTTTAAAAAAAAAAAAGGTTAAAAATTATTGGAGTAAAGATGGATGACGAAGTTTCGACGCTAAATGAATATGAAAAGCAGCGACTAGAAAATATACGTCGCAATGAAGAGATTCTTAGGCAGCTTAACATCCCAGAAACTGTTGCCTCACTGAAACCCTTGCCAAAACAAAAAAAACCTAGACCAAAGCCACCGAAAAAAGAGCCTATGATGCCAACGCGTAAATCCTTACGTATACGCGGTCTCAAGCCTGAAGACACTGGTACTAAGCGAAAGATCAAAGAAGAAAGTCCAGCCTTAGAAAAACGCGCTCGAATAGAGGGCGACCTTGATTTGAACGCGGTATGTTCGGCAAACATGTCCCTCAATGATACAAACCATTTTATTGGGATCCTGTCGGGTCTGACAAAATCAAAATTAGATAATGAAGATATCAATGACGGTGCTACTGAGGGCGTTGAAGGACTCCGATCGGTCCGACGTGCTTGCCGATTGCTCGTTATGGGACAACAATGGCCATCTGTTAAAGTAACACCTGAACGAATTTATTGTGCAGCGGTTCATCCCGCAAGGGATAAAATTTTAGTTGCTGCTGGAGACAAGGTTGGGTCATTGGGTTTCTGGGATGTCAGGGATAAGGTTGAGTTGGAGGATGGAAATTACAGACCGCGAACTTACATGTTCAAGGCTCACACAAGATCAATATTAACCGCTAAATATTCTCCCATTGACTATAATCAACTATTTACTTGTTCTTATGATGGATCAATTCGTTATTTGGATCTCAACAAGGCAAAAATTTTGGAAGCCTACGTATCCAATGAACAATACCTTCTGTCTTACATGGATCTCCATCCTAATGCCAAAATAATCTACTTT